CAGCAGCCAGCAGCAGCCTCTCCCACCTCCTCCCTCCCACCTCCTCCCTCTCACCTCCTCCCTCTCACCTCCTCCCTCTCACCTCCTCCCTCTCACCTCCTCCCTCTCACCTCCTCCCCCTCCTATTCGTCTGTCGTCTCCTTCCCTCTTTAGCTCAGCCCGACCGTACCAGTCGGCGACGGCGCGACTGCGTCCTGAAGACCGGCTCGGCTCGGCTCGGCTCGGCTCGAGATCACGGCGTGGCGCTCAGCTCAGAGTGTGGAGGGACAGGCGAGAGAGATGCTGCTTCAGCCTTCAGCATCATACCCCGCCCCCTCCTCCCCTTTCCCTGCCTCTTGGTGGAGACGGCTGCCGGCTGCACAGTGTGTAGTTTTCAGAAAGGCGATTGTTCTATGTCTGGTTATAGTAGTAATGTGATGCCGTTCACTATTGGCAATGTAACGCTTATTAGGACATGTTGTAGTACCTTTGTTTAAAATGGAAATTTAACATTTTAAAGATCTATAAGTAGGAGTTTGAGTTACCGGCTAACATTCAATTATTCTTTGGTTTTGTTTCAGGAGCTGCTCACAAAACTCCGGATACAATGAGGAACACATCTTTACTGAAATGGGGGCAGAACAACAACTCCAAACAGACAGGTTTTTACGATTTTCTCAATCGTGTACATATTGCTTCATCAATAATTGTTCAATACATCACTGATTCTTGTTACAGGGAACCGTAACTGGATCCATTCTCCAGACGCCTTACAAAGGGGTCACATTGCTTATCTTGTGAAGGTAGAGGATTTCTCAGGACAGTGCCTGATCTTCTACTATCTCAATTTTTCAAACAATCTCTTTGTTTTACAGTTCATGGGAAGTACTGAAGTAGAACAACCAAAAGGAATTGAAGTGGTGAAAGAGGGTATCCGAAAATTGAAATTTACTCAACAGTTGAGGAAAGCAGAAGGGAACAAAATTCCTAAGGTGGAGTTGACCATTAGTATTGACGGAGTAGCTATTCAGGAGCCTAAGACCAAAGTATGATATTTGAATAATAACTTCCAATATTCGTTGCTTTATAGTTAATGTTATAATTTATTGACTTATAACATTGCAGCGTATTATGCATCAATATCCTCTTCATCGAATTTCATATTGTGCAGACGACAAGGGAGAAAAGAAGTTTTTCTCCTTTATTGCTAAAGAGGCTGATGCAGAGAAGCATGTGTGCTTTGTGTTTGTCAGTGATAAGTTGGTAAGCAAAGTATAGCATTTCTGAAATTGTATAACACATTGCTTTGAGCTGTTTACTAATTAAAAATGACTTGTACAGGCTGAAGATATAACATTAACTATAGGTCAGGCTTTCGACCTAGCATATAGGCGTTTTTTGGAAACTTCAGGCAAAGATCTAGAAGTTCAACGCAGACTCATGGTTCTTACTCAAAGGGTTAAAAAATTGGAAGCAGAGAATGTTGTCTTGAGGCAACGGCTCACTGATGTTTCTCAAATCAAAGGAACGGTGGGTATTTTTTCGTCAAACAAAATTTATCTCGTAGACATTTGAATCTAACTTTTTTTAATTTTTAGGCCGATGTTGATGATTACATGCAAAGGAACGGTATTGTTGACCTTTTGTCTGTACCACACTTGTCAACTAGTAGTGCTGATAGTTCCTCTGGCAATACATCCTCCTCATTGTCGGATTCCAGCGTGTGTGACACATCCACCGTTTCTAATGGTTCAGATTTCAGTTCTAGGTATAGTTTTGAATATTTCATTGATTTTAAACAAGTCAAAGTATTTTCTTCACTTTCACAGAAGTGATTTTTCTTTTATCTTCTAGCACTGGAATGAACACAAGTTCATCAAGAAGCAATGGTGTTGGCCTACTTCTTAACTTCAGTTCATCTCCTTCAACAAATGGTTTGAACAGTAGTAACTCTTCATCATCACCCCCAGCTCGAAGTGGACTGCAGTCTCCTTTGAGCCAAGTGCCTCCAGCAATTCCCCCTCGATCGGGAGAGAACAATTTCATGATGTAGGTATCAATTATGTTACATGTATCTATCTCATGGACAATGTTATTCCTCTACACTGTACTTTAACTAATTAGTCCACTCACTTGACTTCTTACTACAGGCCGAACCAAGCAGTACCTTCCTCTCCATCGGTGGGAACCAAGTTGGAGGGACTTCTGCTTGATGAGATGGATGAAGATTTCAATCCCCGGGCTGAGGAATATTCAGCACCTGTGGCATCATCTAACCCAACATTGTCTTCCTCCACCGCAAACCATTTTCCCGTGAGCAATGGAGTTACACCTTCGGCAGCACCATTATGTAAGTTATTTCCAATGTAACCTGTGGTTATTTTGGGTACTAGTTTAAAACACTTCTTTAAGTTATTCTTTACCGAAACTAATTTGTTTCTTGTTTTAGTGGCACCTCCTCCCAGCAAGTCAGCTGTAAGGGGTCGTCCCCAACCAAGCAACACCAATGGTACTAGTGGAAATGCAAGCAATGGCTTGTCTTCAGATGTGTTTGGCTCATCGCCATTCTTTTCCAACACAAATGGCAAATCACCAGTTGGTGGATCTTCAGAGGATCCTTTTGGAATGGGTGAATTTTCAACATCTGGGACCAATGATGCTTCACAACATGACATAGAGAGTGCAATTGGATATCTCGACAAGAGGCTTTTGGAAATGAAGGTAAAGTTCTGCTTTTTAATATTATATAACTATTTTTCATTACAATCTGATGACTTTTTTTTTCTGCAGGATGGCTTCAGTCGAGGCTTAACCTTTGGCAATGAAGATTTTTCTTTGGAAAGTTTGGACCCCTTGCGTAACTAAATGATATAGTGGTGTTTGCTCATGTCTTCAGAATATGCGCCACAGAGTATACTTGTGATACCTAGATTTGCAATTAAAATGAACCCTTTACGTGTAAATTTCAATTAGTTTTGTATATACCAATTAAATCGAGGGATCTTGATTTAAAATGCTAGTTGTCGTAGTTACCTGCTTTTTAAGTGAGGATTACTGTAATTAACCCTATTAAACCAATTGATAATATTAGCATCTTAAAGGTCTTGTTTTCCCCTGTAATATTGTTCACACTATATGTATCTAAGAGTCAGTGCTTGTGATTACTTTCTTTAAAAAAAAAAGAACAACACTTTTTGCATGATCTTACTATTAGAACAATTACTTTGTTTCTCCAGCCCTTATTTTTTTCTGTGAAAACTGAATTGCCATCATGAAATGTGGGTGGTCTTTACCCAGTGTGAGCATTGAAATTTTATCTTAAGTTGTTGATTTCTGTTTGTTTTAGTTAATGGTTGAACAGTCTTGTACATTATTAAAAGTGTTCTATGTAAGCTGGTATTTTACCTTATCAATAGGTAATTGCTCACGTTGATACCATCAAACTATATTAATGTGCGCAGTCTTTTTTTAAAGAACTCTTGTTTTATTATAGGGTCAATTTGAAATGCCAAGTGATATCATTTACATCCTGTATTGTGTTTTTAAAATGTTGCTGTTCCATTATATTTGTTGCTTTTTGTGAATAATATCTTAGTTGTATATAGAATTACATTGTTGCTGATTCAGTTATTTGTATGAATTGAATAAGATCACACTTGAAACTGTTCTTCTGTGTGTTTTTTGATTTTTACTATCACACGTCATTTTATCATGTTCTACCTCAAAATTTTGTACTAGTGATTTTATCTGCTGAGAGGCAACTCTGCTGGTGCCATAGTGCATAGTGCAAAAAAAAAGTGCACAGGCTATTATTTAATTTTTATCTATTAACCAAAACAAACTTATAGAGCATTAGCTCCATAGTAGGTAAACACACACAATTATTATTTAAAAATTTTAATATTAAATCAAAGTATTTATAAATTTTAAACAAAAAACAAAATTTAGAATGGAGTTGAAGTATGTAAGTTTCCTGAATTTTGGTACAACAAAATTTGAAACATGTTGACGTCACTGCGAGGTCACAAATTGAAGGATCACTTTTGTCAATCAGAGATTCTGAAGTGGATAAAGAAATTTCATTTTCGCCACCAATTTTTTTTCAATGGGGCGGTATGTTACTCTTTGTGACCGTATTAGAGGACATGTTCTGAGAAGAAATGCAAATCGATTAAATAGATAAATTACTGAACTGCCATATACTAAATTTGTATTTACATAATTAACAGAGCCTTTGTTACCATTCCCATCTTCTTTGCTCTTCTCTGCTCCTGTTGTTGTTGAGCCTTAATAGTGTGGATACAGTTAGGGTTTTGCTCAAGCTCATCAGCTTAATCCTGTAAAATGGCCACAAATTAAGAAAAATATTCAATAATTTTACTATTCTTAATTGGAAAAAGGATGGGCCACTGTGGAGCAACAACCCTTTGAGATACAGCCAATTCTGGAATTTTGAAAGTACTTGGACCAGCCTCACACAATTCCCTCTGAAATCAGACAATTTGAAATAAGTGATGTATGATTTAATATTATAAATTTTTGGAAACTTCTGTTCTTAACACATTTCCTTCTTTGCCTGTGGTGGTACTACATCTGTTTGAAGTTTGAAGAGAGCTTTGAGACTTCGATTTAACTTGTTCTGCTTTTACTGAGTTAATATCTGAGATCTATAATCAGGGTTTGCCTCCAGTTCATCAGCAAAGTCAGTCTAAACCAAAGATTCATTTTGCACTCACTCTACCTGTCTCACTACGGGGATAATAGATGAATGACTGTTGACCACTTACTCTCATCATTACAGTACAACCAGAACTTGACAGTTCTGAAGCATCGTCCGCAAATTGTACATGTTTTTTTGGGAGGTCTGGGGCGTGTAAGACTTTGATGGAGTTTTCAGGATGGACTTGGGAGTGTGATCCTTTCCCTCAGTATTCTCTCTCAGACCTCAAGTTGACTAAAACCAAAGCAGGCCTCCAAAATGACAAAATTTTGAAATTGGCATCACTTTGATGTAAATTTTTTGGAGTTTAAATAAACTACCCAACCCGAATTTCGAAAATTTACAATAAATGACAAGCAAGCGGTCTTCATAGAATCCGACATTTCTTGTGAGTGAGGAAGCTACCAAAGAACTGTTGCTTTTCTCAAGACTGTTGGTTGAGACTCTCAAGTCTTCGCATCAAACTGCCCTCCACTGTACTGTAACCGCGCCAACCGCGCCAAATGGAACCATTAACGTAAAGCAGGTTGACAACCTGCTGACAACCTTTGAAGCGACCAAAACGACAACTGAACTTTCGAGTGAGAGTCAAGTGCAAACAAAGAAACTATGAAATGGAAAATTTTACTTTACATTTAATACTTTCCGTAAGCGAATAGATTACAGTCAAAAGTAACGAATAGTCTTCGCAAAAACTTTTTTGTTTTTGAAAGAAATGAAATGCGGCCTGGATGAAAGAGGGGGGGCGGGGAGAGGGGAGAGGAGAGAGGAAGCAGGAAGACAAGCTGACAAGCTAGCGAGTAAACAAGAATTTGCAAGGACGAGAAGAAACGAGTCTGAAGGAAGAATTCATCAATTATAGCATCACTTGTTTTCTTCTAAACTGTTTGTAGGGGTTCAGTTTCTCCTTCAGTCTACTGATATCTGCTGTAACGTCAACAACGACGGCATTTATCATTGTCGCTGCGTCATAACCTCTTCCTAGTGCTTTTCAAGAAAATATCACATATTTTGATTCTTTTCCTGCTCTCATCATGTTGACTATTCATTTCGAGGGATTACCTGTATCTATCGGTACTTCATCGTCACATTTTCCAACGGGACCTTTAACTCTTGGAGATCTTCATAATTGGGCTCTAAATGCCCTTGCACTTCCTCTAGAAGACTTGTACTTTTTACATAATGGGAAAAGGGTGGTTGAATCCCATTCTATCACCGATGGAGTGGTGAGGGCTGTGCCTCGTCTTGTTGGAGGCAAAGGTGGATTTGGGTCTATGTTAAGAGCCATTGGTGCTCAAATTGAGAAGACTACAAATCGAGAAGCATGTCGTGATCTTAGTGGTCGTCGGCTTAGAGACATCAACGAAGAAAAACGTCTGAAGGATTGGATCAGTAAGAAAGCAGACCGTGAGCGCGACGCTGCAGAACGTAAAAAGAAAAAACTTGAAAAATTACGTTCAGAACCGAAAATTGAGTTTTCTGACAAGAAATACGAGGAAGAAAGATCTAAATTGTCAGAAGTCGTTCATGATGCTGTTGAGAAAGGATTTCAAGCATCTACAGCAAATCCCAGTTCTAGCGGCAGCAGCAGTGGAGTCAAGCGGCCATTGAAGAAAGGTTTCATGTTTGAAGAGGAAGAATTTAGTGGGGACAGCTCTTCAGTTAGTTCTGATGAACAGTCTGATTGTGAAAACTCAACATCAAAACGCTCACAAGATTCTGATTCTGAATCTGATGAACCTAGTCCAGCCAAAAGAAAACGTGTTGACTCTGACAGTTCAGATTCATCTGACAACTGCACCTCTGGAGGCGACAGCAATATTGTATGTAAAACTGTGAATTAGAAGGTGTACAAATTAAAAACAATGTAAATATGGTACTTTATATATTGCATTAAAATTTACAATGGTACAAGTTTGTTATTCATTTGTTACATCATTCCATAAAACATTGACAAGAATTCTAATACTTATACCTTGAGTCAATTTTTGAAAAGAAAAGTGTTAATTATATACAATGGAGGATACTTAATCTTAAAATTCCTACCACAACATGGGTAGTGGTTCATAGACATTTAAAATTTAAATTGTAAATGATACAGGGTGACTAAAAGAGAGTAAAGCAATCAGAAGTACATAATCAGTCGTAACTACAGTGTCAGGCAATTAGAGCCAAACACCAGATAAACCAGTAAATTCATTATGTACAAGGGTCCAAGAATCAAGCTAAAATTCACTAAAACTTATAAAGTAAAAACAATGTTAAAAAATGGAAGAGATAAACCATTAATTTATACGTCCTCTTCAGACATCAAGGAGAGATAAGCTGAAAAGAAGAATCACAGTTGATTCTAAATCTCCAGAAGTTGTACACAAAACTAGGTTTCAGTACTTACTGATTTGACTGTCTCTTTTATGAGATCTTTCTTGTGAGCTAAGTCATGTTCAGGATAGTTTTCATAAACTTGTTTGCAAACTGTCTTCATGGTAATCTCTTCCAGATTTGCTCCCTCCAAAATCTTCTTAACGTAAGATTTTATTTCTTCATCCTGTAATAAAAGTGTTCATTAGTTTTCAATCAAAGGGTGGATAAGACGGGTTGAGACCATTGCTCACAAGAACATGGAATAGAAAACAAAGCATACCGTAGGTGGTGATGGTTTTGCAATCTTTACAAGTGGTTCATCATCTTCAGAAGCTCCATCTTCGCTTTCAGAGACCGCCTTCTTTGCTGGTGCCTTTTTAGGTGGTGCTTTCTTGGCTTGTTTGACTGGTGCTACTTTAGAAGCGGGCTTCTTTCCCTTTTTGGACTGGGAAAAAGCACAACACAGTTAAAAGGCTACGTACTTACAAGAATTTGTATCTCAAAGAATGAAAAACCTCACCTTTTTTTCCTCCTTTTCTTCATCAGTCACATCGTTTGACTCCTCTGCTTCCTTGTCTAGTTCTTTGTCATCCTTTTCACTTCCATCTTTCTCATCCTTATCACTTTCTTCCTTTTCACTTTCGTCTTTAACTCCCTCATCGTCCGAGGACTCTACTCGAGCCTTTTTGGACTTTGATTCTTTTTTGACATCTTCCTTGACATCTTCATCAGAATCTGATTCAGAAACATCTTTTAAACTCACTTTTTTCCCCTTGCTGCTCCTCTTCGATGCCCTTGTTGGCTTTGCATCACTGTCAGAACTGTACAATAACACAAACCAGGATTACACAGATGCAAATAATGTAAGTAGTGTACCACACAAATACAACCATAGCTTAACAAACAAAATCAACTCACTCTGCCTTTTTCTTGTGCGAACCTCCCTTGGATTTCCGCTTACTCTTTGGCTGAGGTGGTTTTTTACCGGAATCAGTTGGATTAAGGCAGAACTGCATGATCTTGTCTGTCAGACCAGCAACTGTCCCGGATCTCTCTAGACCCAATATTTCACATGTGACCTTCAGCTGTTTTATGCCCACCCTGAAATACACAATATTAGTAGATAACTGAATCTGAATCACATTAATACAAAGGTACCTTAATCTGTCTGTCTTACTTGGAAAGTAAAATTTTCCTTTTCTCCCACTGGTCCGAGCCCTCATCAAAGTCATAACCGTTGAAGCTTCGGATTGTCTTCTTCATAACGGTTTTAAGAGGGCCTCGAGAGCCAAACAGGGCTTTGGAAACAGTTTTCATATTTTCAGCCCTAAATTTCTGAAAGGGATGCGAGGAACTTTAGATACAAATCGTTAACTGCAAAAAATGTTGGTGTTCAAAAGGGTGTTGAAGAGTTAGCCCTGAGATAAAAAGAACTTACAGATATGGCATTCTCAATAATTGGAATCTCCCCTAACTTAGTTCCTTTCCCTTCAGGAACAGAGAAAGGCTTCTTATCTTCTTTCTCAGTACTGCTATATTCAAAGCGAGCAACTTTCTTCCGCTCACGAGAACCACTGACCTCAAGTGGCTGATCAAGAAGAGGAACTACAACATAAAATTGCATTTAAAAATGTACATGTAAGTAAAATAATGACACCAATAGTATGGCAAAACTTACCACCCTTTTCAGATTGTTCTTCTTCCTCTTCCTCATCATCTTCCTCCTCAGCTTTACTAACTTCTTTGCTTTCCTTTTTAGGAGAGGCTGGTTTCTTCACAGCTTTTTTGGGTGGAATCTCCTCTTTCTCTTCTTCACCTTCATCATCACTCAACTCCTTTTTCTTGGGCTTTTTAGAAGGGGACTTCTTGGGCAGGGGCGCTTTCTTCTTTTTTAAGTCCTTTGCCTCATCTTAAAGGGGAGTAAGTAACATTGAGAATTTCAATTGACAAAGAATAAAAATTGGTCACCTCAGCAGATGCTTTAGCTCAACCAGGGTTCATACCGGATCTGTATCATTATTTTCCCTGACTTTTCCCTGATTTCCAGATGAAAACATCCTGTTTTTCCCTGACATTTTCTAATTAAGAGAGCAGGCAAATTTTGCAAAATTGAGGCGACAACAGACTTTTCGCAGAAAAATTAAGTAATGCTCTAAAAGTCAAGAAAGATAATAATTATTCTTACAAAGGCATCAAGACTTAAATTGGCCCATGCATTCACAATGCCATGCCATGACAAACTACCATATTTCTTAATTTTTCCCTGCCTTTTTATCAGATTTCCCTGACTTTTCCCTGATTTCCGGTACTCTATCATTTTCCTTGACTTCCCTGACCGGTATGAACCCTGACAACCTATAAAATCTAATATGATAAATCAAACCTTCATCATCAGCTTCACTGTCTTCTTTCACTTTCTTGTTCGAAGCCGCCTTCCTCTTGGTAGCTTTCTTGCCATCTTTCTCACCCCCATTGGCAACTTTGTCGTTCTGATCATCAGCTTGTGGCTCTGACTTTGAGTCTCCATTGCTAGCCTCAGCCTGTTGACATGAGAACATCAAGCAAAGTTACAAAGGATATGCACAAAAAATGTTGTTGAAGTTTTGAACGAAAACAAGTGATGCTGTAAGATAAAAACTTATTTTCACTAGCTGCTTGAGTTATGCACTAAAATACCATTAACAGGAATCAAAGTAGGGTACAATTGAATCATTTGACCAAGATATAAAGGAGATACCGAAAATAAGACAATTTATAAAAAGAGAAATGTCAAGGAGCAAAAAGCAAGATTCTTGAATGAAGTTGTGAAACTGAGCTTGACTCAATGAAGCAAGGTTACTGGTCAGTATGCAAATTTAAGTATTTCAACAATTTCTACTGAAGAAACTAACAAGATGCAACGCCTGACTAAAAGAACAGACAGAAGAGATCTTTTCTGGTACTTTTACGCACAAAATCTAGGTGATCAGAAACTTTTGTCGTTTCAAACGTCATTCCCGCGTTTTTTCTCCGAGCCGGTTGGCTCTTTCCACCACCAGAGACGGTAGGCCTTAACTCAAATTGCGAGAGTTTGGAGCTGTTACTAACCTCAGGCGACTCAACTTGGGCCTTTTCGTCTTCACCCGACATTTTGAACAGGAGATGGAAGATGGGTTACAACACTCCGTAACGAGAAAAACGGCCGAGTGAAGAAAGATCACACTCTGATCACGCTACGCTACGCTTCTTGCTTGGGCGGGAAGTGTCGGTGAGTCTGGCGAGCGGCGGGCGGCGAGTGCGGCGGGAAGCAGCAGCAGCGAAACTGCCACAATACTGCTACTGCTGCAGCTGCGATGCGTTGCAGCGGTAGCCGGTGCCGGGGGGAAGGGAGAGGGGGGAGGGGGTCAGTCGTGCCGTTGTGCGAATAATGACTTCTTCATCTTCACGTCTTCACGTCTTGCGACGTCTGCTCCTGCTCTTTTCACGCTGTTGGGTGTTCGTTTGGGCTTGAAGGCTTTTTAAATTGATTTAATATCTCTTCAACGAATGAAGAATGGACGAATACAAAACTTTCAATGACCTGGGGCTTAGCCCTTGGCTTGTTCGACAGTGTGACCTTCTTGGTAAGTTATTTGTGTAAGCCTACCTAACCTGTTGTGGACCTTAATGTTTTGTTTTCATGTCTATACTTGACACCTCAATCTCCTTTTCGCAATTTCGTTGCCTCTTATAAATAGAATATTACTGTATGTCAGTAACATCACCGTCATCTTTTCTTGGCTCATACTTACTGTTTATGACAAACTCCATTACATTCAGATTGTAGCATTTACTATAACCTGTTGTCACATGTGTTACAGGTATGAAAAGTCCCACAGAAATTCAAAAGAAGTGTATACCTCGTATTTTGCAAGGTGAGGATTGCATAGGATGTGCCAAAACGGGAAGTGGAAAGACCTTAGCTTTTGCCCTCCCTATACTGAACAAACTGGGTGAAGATCCATATGGAATATTTGCCCTTATTTTAACTCCAACGAGAGAATTAGCATACCAGGTAAAACTGCCATTTAAGCTTGAAGGAAATGTGTTCGGGCAAATGTCCTATGTGTGTGCTCTGCTTATAAATGTTGTACGCTTCAGATAGGAGACCAGTTTGCAGTTATGGGCAAAACATTAAATCTGAGAATGAGTGTTATTGTTGGTGGAATGGATATGATGGTTCAGGGACAAGAACTCAGCCGAAAGCCTCACATAGTTGTTGCAACACCTGGGAGGTAGAGTAAACTTTCATTATGTCACAGTTGCATTTCAATTATCTTCCAAAAAATGTATTAATTGATTATTTATGATGAAGACTTGCAGATCATTTAGAAAGTTGTGACACATTCAGCCTGAAGAGAATAAAATATCTTGTTTTAGATGAAGCTGATCGGTTATTAGAGGGTCGATTTGATCACCAAGTATGTTAATTTTGTTACTGTTTCCATGTTCATAAGCTACAGGTCAGAAGATGTGTAAGCAACACATTCTGTTTTTTCATTACTCTTTTATTTTTAGCTGAAGACCGTTTTTGAATGTATTCCAGAAAAAAGACAAACACTACTGTTTAGTGCCACATTGTCAGATTCTCTGGATAAGGTTAAGTCTATTGCAGATGAAAAGGTAGTTCCTTCCCATTGTGCACAGACTCCATTTTAATTTGAAAACAATTAATTAACAGTGTCTATCTTTCTAGGTCTTTGTATGGTCAGAGCCAACAGATGTGGCCACCGTTGACCAACTTGCTCAATCTTATGTTCTCTGTCCACCTATGGTACGAGACGGATATTTAGTTGAAACGATTAGAACATACCGTTCACAAGATGAGAATGGGTCTATAATGATATTCACTGACACTTGCAAGTATGGCGTTTGGCATCTTTTGTTTAATCTTAACTGTGCACTTTATCTTATGGTACTTTTATCACATCTATTTTCTTTTGCTTCTCATTTTCTTTCTCATAGAAATTGCCAGCTTCTCTCTATGACTCTCAATGAAGTTGGCTTTGAAAATGTGGCCTTGCATGCTATGGAAAGACAGAGAGAAAGACTGGCTTCCTTGGCCAAATTTAAATCTAATGTTGTCAAAATATTGATTGCTACTGATGTAGCCAGCAGAGGTATGATATGCTGAAAATTATAGACATTCTTTATTTCTTGGACTTCAAATTTCAATGACTATTTGTAAAAAGACAATTCTTTCTTTCAAAAATAGGTTTAGATATTCCTGCTGTGCAACTCGTCCTTAATCATACCCTACCTAACTCTCCTAAAGATTACATTCATAGAGTGGGTCGAACAGCTCGAGCAGGACGTGGGGGTCTTGCAGTTTCCCTTATAACTCCACATGACATCAAGATTTTGCAAGCTATTGAAGAAGCTATCAATTTTAAACTATCAGAATATAAAATTGATGGTAAGTCTTTAGATTTGGACAACTATTTGCTTAAGTAGACTTGTATCTAAGAGTCCATTCATTTATTATTATAATTCTTCAATTGCCTTGTATTTTTAGATAAGGAAGTGGCTAAAATTGTGACTCAAGTATCAGTCACAAAGAGAGAAGCAGGAATAAAACTGGATGAAACAGACTTCTATGAGAAAAAGGCTATCAACAAACGTAAGAAATTGATACTTGAAGGTAAAGATCCTGACGAAGAAGAAGCTCGCTTGGAGGCGAGGAAGAAGTTGAAGCGGAAATTAGCAAAGAAGAAAGCCAAGGAATATGCCAAAAAAAAGAAAGTTTCAAGTACCTTAGTACAAGATGATGATTCAGATTAATCCCAGATTTATTTTGGTGCAAAACTGAATTATACCTTAACAAATTTAACTTCAGAAATACAAATTAAAAAAAGAGAGAATTTTTCACCTTTATAAGAATCTTTTATGTATATTTTGATTCTACAAAATGAACCTTACGAAACAATATTGCATGACTGAAATCTGATACCTGTTTAACTAAGTACAAAAAAGGCTGATATAACAATATTGACTTACTTTAAAAACATAATAGAAAAGTGAATTTTCAAATTGACTGGCGCTTGACATTTTGGTCACACTGCTGTCAATATGGCTGCAACAGATTTCAAGGTGGTCCCATCTTCATTACTGGATCCCCTTTTATTTTCCCTGAAGTTTACAATTTAGAAGAAATTGTAGATCCTTCATTATCATGTACTGTGGGTAGCTGAAGACCTTGAAGAAATTTATTTAATTCAGCAATGTATTCCACTCTGTGTTTTCTTAAATGCCCAACATGAGGAGAATCATCCCAGAGTTTCACCGTCACCTGGGAGAAAAAAAGTGAGCTTCAATCAAGGGACACTTTTATCAATAATTACACCAGATATGGCCAATACTACCTCAATTTTATCTTCTCGCCAATCATCAACCACCTCCATCATTTCCTTGAAGGAGCAGATAGGATCACCACGTGAGGCAAGCACCAATGCTGGAGCTTTAACTGGTGGGTGATGAAAGCAGGCACTGCTTGCATGGTAATGCTTTGTTGCGACATTTTTAAACATCCATAAGTGTAGCCTGCAAAAGAGACAAATTAAAAGGAAACAACATCAACACTGTAGAAAAAATTTCAACAGAGAATAAATTTGAAAATGCAGCAAAGTGGTTATTTAGCTGAGAAAAACACAAAATACCACATGCAATAAGTAACATACACAGCCACCATTATAAAATATAATTTATATAACATGCTCTACATGTAAGCAGGTCCATAAAGAAAATATGTAATTCTGAGTCAAACATCAACTGTGACAGGCATTATTAACCATTCCACTCTGACTCACCAAGCACTTCGCATCCCAGGTTATCATTCATGCTGGAAATGTTAATTTGTGCCACTCTATCAAGTGTATGTAACAATGACCTTACAGCAAGAAGAAGCATGTTTTTAAAATTTTGAACATGACAGAGATTATAATAAGTTGATCTGATGCCTGTTATTTTTATTTCTGACATGGGCTTTGAGCAGTCCAGTTAAAAGTCCTAAGCAAATTGGAAAAGAACACACAGATTTTTGCTTCCCAGTTGAGATATACACCAATTATTTGACATATCTATTTTATGGAAAATTAAACTCACTGTATGAATGTCTGAACCACTCTCTTGAGAACATCATTCTTTGGGAAAATGGCTGCTGCAATTCCATGATCGGCCCCAACAACATCTACAAGACTGTCCCAAACTTGACCAACAACCTGCTTCGGTAGTCCTGGATGTCCATTCATCCGAAGGCAAACTTCCCCCCATAAGTATCCACCCACTGAGAATCCATGCACTATGACTTGCTTGTATGTTGGATTTACTGCCAGGAACCTGATTAATTCTTCAGCTACCAACTGTTAAAAAAGAAACAAATGTGGTAAGAGGACTTTTGACATGATGCGATGACAGAAGTCTGGCAATTGATTCAAAGTAAGTGTGGTCTCAAGACCCCGAAAAACATGTCAGGCATATGATGAGTGGCTTCTGTGGAGTCAAAGTGCTGGAACATGCTTTATTTGTTTGTTCTAGTTGTCTGGACCTTAAAATTTGTATTCAACAGAACAGAAAAAAGTGTACACCACACGATGCATTTTTGATTGAATATGTAGTAATATTCACATATGTGTCAGCAAAGCAAGCTTAGTGCGTTAAAAAAATATAAAACAAAAACTGTGCGTTCATGAAAGCATAAATACAACATGTCAATGTTAATCTCTTAAAAGAGAAGTAAGAAGAAATGGACATCATGTGCATTCAATTTTTTGTATGCCCAGTCTGAAATTGTTTACTTGAAAAATTGTATGATTTTGTTAGTGGAAATGTGTAGTTAAAAGTTAAGATCAGATAGAGAAGGAATTTAATCAACTGATAAACTAATGAGCAGCAAAAATCGATTTTCTGCTATTATCTGATGAGTATTATGGGTATTGCAAAGTAGGCAATATTTGTTGCTAAAGCATACTAGGAGATCAAACATGAAAGAAAAGGAAGAATCATTCCAATCAAATATGCAAACCACCACCAAGTGGATCTTAATAAAGCTTTGACTACAAGAAGTGTGAACTGATTCATTCTCACCCTAGATAATTTGAAAAGGCAGTCCGAAGCAAGAAGTTTCTGGGAAAAACAGCTAAGGGGAATCCCTGAATAATTGATTCCAGGCCAACCACTGAGTCCCAAACTTGACCATGAATTCGTTTGATGACAGATGAGTATCTTGATGAGTCTCGTGAGAGCAAGAGCTCCACTTCACCCCAAACGTAGCCCCCTATGGAGAATCCGTGCACGAGAATGCGTGAGTAATGACTGTTGTTGGCGAGGAACTGAGCCAACTCAGCAGCCACCACCTGTGTCATAGATTTCCATCACATCTCCAAGTTCCAGCACTTTGTTGTTGATAAACCACAGAGAAGCCAAACCCTTGAATCAATAAATATTATGTTGATTTCTTGCAAATGTTTTCTAGCATACCTGGCTTCCACTGGTTGGGAAAAGAAGCTGAGATGGTTTGAGTGGTGCAACAAGAACATCATAGCCACTGCCTAGATATAGATCAGTGAATTTTTTGACATGGTTTCTATGAGCAGCCATCCATTCTAAAAATACTACTAAAGGCCTTTCCTTTCTTATTTCTACAGTCAGAGACTTTTGATCCACCTGAAAAATACAATGTAATAGCAGGCAATGTTTCCGTTTCAGTTAAAGAGTTGTAATAATAAATTCAGGATTATTTGAAAGCTATTGTCTGAATACCTTTGGCTTATCATCCTCTGGTGTCATCAGTCGAAGGTTTTTTGTAACTGCTTGGGAGGAAAAGCTCCTTGCAGTTGGAAGTAGATTTGATGCAAAGCAGGGACGAGTGGTAAATGTCATTTTAGGGGCATTAGAAAAAATGGTACCTCGTAGACTAAGCTAGAGAGCAAAATGACAATCCATTTCAAATTAAATGAATTAATGAGAACTTGATACAAAGGTAAAAACAGAAACGGAGTTCAGCAGTAGTTCATGGAATTATGGATCAACAGCACAAGTTCCAAAAAAACTACTAACATGATGTTGTCGTTGATATTTTACCCCTGCTGAAAGGGCGGCGCGGACTGAAGAACCCGTCATTATGGAACGCACAGATGTTACCTAAGAGAAATAAAAAAAGAAGACAGGTTGATGTACAAAATTATGACAAAATAGTGTGTCAATAAGGAATTTTAATCATAAAACAAGGTGTATAAATTATCACTTCATCTAGTTTTCTTTGACTGAAGTTTTTAGTATTTCATGCTCATAGAACTAAATCGCATAATTACTGTCATCAATCTAAAGAGTAACAAAAACCTAATCCTGAAAATTATAAATTCATACCAACAAAAGCTAACCTCTGTAGCAGACCGTTTCCAGAGGCCCTGACGAGAAGTCAATAAAAGTCGATGTGGAACGTGTCAATCCCAGAGGAACCTGGCCATGGGCATTACACTTGGGAAGGCAGAAAGCCGAATAAAGGAGTACCCCGCTGGTACACGCGGTACTTGAGGTAGGTAGCTTTCAACCACTATCAGCCTTCCGCGCTCCCCTCCCCCCACTCCCAGCTCAGGATCGCCTGATGTCTCCTCCCTCTCCTTCCCTCTTTCCTTCCTCACCCCTACCTCCCCTCACGGCCCGACTTCCCTCACCCCTTCCCTCTCCCTTCCTTTCGCGCTACAGCACCAGCACAACCATGCACATACTGTATCATCGCAGGTGACTGGAATTTGCGAACTTTATTTTTGCGCTGTAAACCCATTCTTGCTCGTGTGCTTGCTTCCCTGTGACGTTACCCACTGCGCGTCCGTGCGAGTGAGACACAAGGTGCACGTGTGTCCGACTGGACTGACAGACGATCAAAGTCTCCGCGATAAAACCTCTGTAGCGGTAGCGGGCTGAGCCGTCGGGCTACGCAGGTCGGATTCTGGTGTTGTGTGGACTTCCCTGCTTTTCACTTACTGCGAGAACGTCCCGCTCCAGCAGCCCTTGTTTTGTACTTCGTCTCGTCCTTCGTCTTGACTAATTATATACCAGGTGGCTGATTCACGCCGCGCACTTCTGTAGTTATGCTGTACCGCACGCACGAGTGCGGGCGGGTTGCCTACTCGCTCGGCTCGTAAGGCGCCGTGGACAGGGGCGATAGGCCAGCCCGCCCGCACTCGTGCATGCGGTACAGTATACCTACAGAAGTGTGCGGCGTGGGCTCGCTGCGGCTGCCCGGGGTCGTCGTCGACTTTGCGAAAAACGGGAACTCAATACATGATGGGAAATGTTCTGCATCAGTTAAGCATCCACATCACTATTCCCATTTTTATTTATTTTAATTTATTCAAATGTCATAGCTTTCTTGAAAAACAACGACAATTTGATTCTATTTTGACCGTGTACGCTCTCTGAATTTGCTGTCATCTCTCTGGTCCTTATCAATACTAGGGAGGTCATCATCGGAGAGCTATGAATCTTACACCGATCCACAAGAACTTGATGCGTAGGGTAGCGTGGCCGAGCGGTCTAAGGCGCTGGTTTAAGGCACCAGTCTCCTCGGAGGCGTGGGTTCGAATCCCACCGCTGCCAGATTTTGCCGCAAACTATGGACATGGCGGGATGGTACATGGACTATGCGCCGCCCCCGGAAGTCGACTGAGCGCTCTCGTTTTTAACTTTTTCGAGGAGCGCGTGTCTCCCGTGCGGAACGATACGCGTCGATATCGCTCGCAGCAGGGCGGCCGACCTTGGACGCGCGCATGCAACGTTCACGTTCACTACTGGCGGCTGCTCTGTGCGGCTGCGGCACGGCCGGGGCTCAACTGCGGAGTGATGTACCCTTCCCGCGACTCCGATGCACACATGCCGTTTTCAATAGAAAGGAAACTCACAAATTCCATATTATCATATGGAGACCTTCTGAAAGTGAAGTGAAGTGGAACCGTCATCATGGACCTTAATCGGAGCTGATAAGGGTAAGGCCCAAGGCCCTTGGCCCTTCTCCACTCCTTGGTGGCGGGTCCATGCCCAGAGCGCAGCAGCAGCAGCCGCTCGTTGGTCGTTGTCTCCGCCTCGCCTCGCCCGCCTCGCCGACCCGCATCTCGCGTCAGCGTTCTATTTATTCCGTGTCCGCCGTCGCCCAGCTGACGGAGCAGTCTGCGCCGGCGTGCACCGGGGCACCGACGGAACGGCGGCGCGGCGCTCCGAGACCTCTGGTCGCCCGCGGCCGAGCCCCGCCCCTCCGCGCCCCTCGCCCCGCCGCTCAGTACCCAGTCCGCTGCCGCCCCCACCGCAGGTTTGTGTTATTTGGCGGAAGCGGCGTGCTTCTGCTCGGCGCCGACCGCCCCGCCCCGCAGGCCGGCGCAGTGCGACCCGACGACTCTGCCGCGCCGCCTGTGTGGGTGCCCCCGTCGTGACGAGGAGCTTTTGGTGCGCCAGCGTGAGCAAAGTGTTTGGGTGTGTTTGGACGGGGAGGTTAGAGGCGGCCAGGACAGGCATGGCCGCGGCCGCGCGCGGAGCGCTCGGTGCACGGCGTGTTTCGATCCGCGGTGTGGGAGGGGAGGGAAGGGTCAGTGGCGGGGTGATACTTGGGG